AAACAGGTCACGTAAGGGTGCTAATATCTTATTCACTAGTAATCGTACTCTCAAACTTAGTCTTGATTTCGTAAACCTAAACTTCTTTTAATAAGTTTTAATTAATTTTAAAAATATTTTTATTAAAAAATGATATTTTAAGTGGTCAGTCACATCCTATAAAAATATTCGTGACGACTCCAAAAATTTTCATCAAATCTAGCGATTGAATTTTTCCGAGCGAAAAATCATTATGACATAACTAATTTGTTAAAATTTATCGCCTTTTAATCTCTCCTTTAATGACCTTAAATGCAAAATATTTGAGTGTAAAGGATATATATATATATATATATATATATGAGGAGAAATATATTACATTTTTAATTTTTAAATTTATATCAAAATAAATTTTTAAATTTTAACAATTTTGATTCAAAAATAAAAAATAATATAACACTCATGGTTTAATGAATTCTCTTTGACTAATCCCAATGGGGAAAAAAGTTATACTTAGCTTTCTTGGCAACCAGGTAATGGCCCAAATATTCCTTTACAAGTCTCTTTTTTTTTTTTAGAACACACAAAAACCCTCTAATTTTAAAAAAGAAAACAAAAATAAATCACCTATTTTTTTTGTATAAAATTAAGATTATAAATTTTTATTTTCATTATTATTATTATTATACTTATCAACTTTAAAAAATTAATTACTAAAATCTAGTTATCAGAATTATTAAAATAGTATTCCTCCTAATATTCATCGTTTAGTTTATCTAAATAAATCTAAAAAAATATTTTCTATCAAATAAATCCAATAAATATTTTTTATAGATTACAGCATCCAATCAAGAAAATTTTATCCTTATTTCAATTAGACTGTGAACATTATCTTAAAAAAAAAAAAAGAGACTGTGAACATGGCTAGCAACACCTCTCATCATCAGTAAACTTCCTCTAGCAATCTCATTTACCTCATTTTAACTTTATTTGTTTTGAATCATGTCACTTTCTATAATTTTTTTTTTAATCTATGAAATGGGATTTGAACCTTTGTACCTTAAAGAAGGATCTTTCCCCTGTATTTTCTTCCTGGTTTGTCAGTGAGTTACTTTTCCCCATTTTGAAGAAGAATATGGATTCAACTCCTATGCTTGGAAACATGACAGAATTGGGTTTTAGGGTTTTGGAAGAGTTCTCATTATTGTTTGACCAAAAGGAAAAGTGTATCTTCATTATTTCTTGGCTAAATTTTGATCACTTGCTTTTCTTTAACCCAATTACAAAGACCAGATCAGGATTGTTCCTAATTGACATTAATCAAACCAAGGAATTTAACATGATCTAAGAGATTGGATCTGCTTGTACATATATATATATATATATATATATATTCATTGTGGCCTCAATCTATGCCTGCATTTTTATCCCATCCAATATCTGCTACAGCAATCCAATTTGGACTACTAATTATATCTTTTTTATGCGATAATATAATGTATTTATTGTAGACTGAATGAGATCATTGTATAGTGATGGATTTTTTATTATTGTGGTTGGTTTTTTTTTTTCTTATGATTGCCAGTCCTCTACAACGCCATAGTAGGAAGGATTTTCCAAATATGGGAAAGTTTTAATTTGTTTCTTGCTTTAGCAGAATCAAGAATCCTAAGAAATCTGCCCGCTTTTTTCTCAATCCACATCCGAGTGTAAGACACAGGCAACCACATAATAAAATCCAAGTAAACCCCACAGCAAATCTGGCAGATGAAAAACCAGCTGTGTATCCAAGTTCTGTTCCTGCGGCTATAGAATCAATGAACATGATCGAAGCTGGTAATCATCATGGAGTGGGAAACGAAGGAAAAAGTGATGAAATATCTGGTAACCAAAGCATTGAAAAAGCGATAGAGGAGAGCCTGGCAATGAAAATAAAAAGGATTCCTGTAGCTAAAAGCAGCGCTTCTGAGTCTGAAGTTGTTGCAAGGGAACGGACGGATGATTCTATCAGGAACTTGGAAAATGGTAAAACAACACAATTAAGAGAAACTTTATATTCGAATAAAGCTGGATCAGATTCGATGGCGGTAGAAGAAGATTTCAAAGTAGAAAATTACCAGCTGAATGGTCTCCAGAGAGGCAGAGGAGAGATTGAAATCAATACTCGCCAGGGAAATCAGGTAGATTGTGTTGGTGAAACCAGTGATGGTGCTGATTCGAACATGGTTCAAATTTCACAGAAGAGTCCAAAATGTCGGACACTGAGAGACCCGATGATTTTGCAAGATAATGGTGTTGTCGGCAATAACCAGGCCATGAACATCTGTTCGGATGCTTCCCCTGGAACTGCCTACCAGCCTTCAACAGAAGAAGGTATTCTTTCATAAATTGGTTTCTCTTTCGTTTGCATTAGCCTTAAATGGAGACTGAATAAGTATATCTTCCATGTTTGATTGTTTTAATTAATTGGTTTTCTAGCAACTCCAAAAGTAGCAGAGAAACTGAATTTGGAGAAGCAAGACACTGAACTGGAGGCTTACATTTTAGACAAATTAAGCTTGCTAGAGCCATCTTTCAGGACGTTGTTTGAACCAAGTGTCGCAGGCAGCAACTCCACTGGCTCTTCAGACAATAGGACAGGACAGGAACCTGGGAAGTCAAAATGGAAAAAGAAAATCCGGGGTGTCGTTGCAAATGTAACAAACTCATCGAGTGCCAAGAAACAGCAGCAATCTCCTGATCTGGAAGACATTTTATATGAGACAGATGTAAAAGGGATATTAAAAATGAGATGGGAAGAAGATAGGAAAAAGAGTCAAGTGAAGAAGCAAAGAACAAGATCAAGATGGCCAAGATCATGCTTTTGCTGCCCCCGTAGTAACAGCACAGGGAAAAATATGGAGTGGGAATTTCAGCTGGAGGAGTACAGTTCTGCTTGGTGAAAAAAAAAAAACAAACAAACAACCATTTCATTACATTGCCTTGCAATATTGTTTTTATGAAGGAGATGATTCTGGTTTCAATCTAGTTGGAGTAAATTGCAATGTACGGTATATTACAAATAGAGATATTGAAATTTGGGCTGTTTTCAATTTTCTTGCTCTCAAATTATTTTGCTTGAATAGAATGCAATTAATTATAAACTATAAACATTATTCCCGATTCTTCTGAAGATGAGTTAAAAAATTTTTATATGAATTCAAACATCAGATGATAAGAATATCAGATAAATAGTATGAAACTAAAAAAAAGAAAATGATAATATCCAAAGAAATTCTTTACTATCAGCTTTCGATTTTTATTACATAAAATTAAAATTATAAATTTTTATTTAATTGTAATGAAAACTGAATAAGGATAAAACTTTGTAATTATACTATGAATCAAATATTAAATATTATCATTGTATTTCAATTTCCTTGAATTTTACCATTATACTTTCAATTTTATTGAATTGTAATTACCACTCTGCTTTAAAATTTTGTTGACTTTTGGACATGAAATAACGAAAACAATGAAAATGTACCATTTTCATTAACATATTCTACTGTGAAATATTTTAATTTCTTGATTTTTTGTCTCAAAATTAAAAAAAAAAAAATTGAAAGTACGATGACAAATTCATCATTTGCATTAAAAAAATATTTTGATCTCATTATTTTTTTTGTCCAATAATCAACTAAATTGAACGAACGGATAAAATTCAATAAAATTAAAAGTACAATTACAAAATTCAACTAAACTGAAGTGCACTGCAAAATTCGATATTGACCAAAATTATTTATTTAATAGTTTGTTTTTCTAAGAATCAATTTAATTAAGGTTGTGCTTGGATCGTTCGAGAAATTGAAGAAAACTTGAGATAAATGCCTGAATTTTGAATGTTTTTAGATAGTTCCTTTTTAATATACGAGAGTTTTTAATTTCGAAATGGAGATTAAAAGAAAAAATAATTATATTTTTAATCTTAAAGGTTTAAGAATTTCTTTACTTTTTTACTTTTAGTCTTAAAGTTTTGAAATTCGTTACTTCCATTATTAGTTTAATTTAAGAATTGTTATTACTATGGTAAATTTCACTCAAATTCTTAAGTTTTGAGTATAATTTAACACAAATTCATTAATTTAAAAAATCGACAATTCACCTCAAATTTTTTAATTTTATAGGACAATTAAGTCCTTCCATGTTAAAATTTTCGTTTAAAGACTATTGTATCTTTTAAAAATCAATATCTTGAAATGTTCACATAAAATAACCTTTTTATAATAATTTTTTTATTTTTTCTCAAATTATATTAAATATATTAATAATAAAAATTTTGATGCAACATATGAAACAAAACTTACTGTGGTAAGTATGTTAATATATAAATATATGTGCAATAAAGTGAAAATGTTAAGAATATATTATTATTTCGGCATGTAACAATTTTTAAAAAAATGAAGGATATAATATTAAAAAGGTTAGTTGAAAAAAATAAAAAGAAAATGATCATAATTGAATATTTATCGATTCGGTTTTAATTATTATAATACTCGTATATATCTTAAGCTTAAATCTATATGTTGATGAAAATATAGTGATGACAAATTTATTTATTTTAAATTAAAAACTATTTATAATAAGTACCCAAATTAAAAGGTTGCAATATTTAAATAAAAATAATTTTTGTTACTATGTATTCAATAAATATATAAAATAAAGAATAATATATATATAAATACAATAAATTTTGAGGGGTAGTTTTATAATTGCCTAATAGATTGGGATGGATTGATTATTTTTTAAACTAATTTAAACTAGACTTATATTGAATAATGCTCAAAACTGAAAAACTTGATTGAAATTTACCCTTGTCATTTGTGTCATTTTTTAATAGTTTTCGACTTTTTAAAATATATGTTTAATTTTCTTTTTCAATAAAAGTTGTGATTGTTAAAAATATTTGATCAGATTGATATTAACATATTGTAATGCAAACAAATATAAATTACTTTGAAAATTTTTTAAAAAAATATATATTTCCTCATTTAAAATTTCCTCATTTTAATTAAAAAATTTTCTGGTAACCAAGAAATGTGCAAAACACTGAACTTAATAGTTCAATTGTGCACAGAGAAGGCATCCCTACTGAAGAATGTCTCTTAATTCAGTCATGGGGCATTCATAATCCTAATTTACAGATGAACAGCATACAAACTGTACCCACAGTGGCCTACCCTTCACTTTCCTTTTCTCTCTTTTAATATCAGCTGGATACCTTGCAGGAGAATTCCATTCTTTCCCTGCTTCCATATCGGTTGGCTCAGCTACAGGTGTTTCAGGGCTCTGCGTTGATCTAACTTTGGTAACCAAGGCTCCATCATCTTTGGCTACTTTCTTCTCTCTTGGAATAACAACAGCTGGGTTTTCTTTTGAATGAGGGGACTTTGGTTTGGTTTCACTATTGGCTTCCCCCAGTAGGTTCTTCAGAGGAGTGTGCTGCTTCGCGTTCCAGTTAGTTACCTTTGCTATGATCTCTTCATTCTTCTTTCTTCCTGGAGACTCGTTTGCCACATGAGTAAGAGAAGGAAACCAACCAGCTTGCAGAGGTGAGGCTCTGGGATTTTGTGCATTCTGTACCGTCTGGATTTCAGAAGCAGAAGTTTTTTGGTCACCCCCTCCAGGTTCAACCAATGTCATGAAAGATGGTGGCTCAAATTCATCAGATTTATCAGAATGCTGTTCTTCAGATGCAACTTTTGACTTCTTAATGTTGGCTTTCTCTGCTTCTGAAAATGGATGTGAACCAGTTGATGGTAAAGTTTCAGTTTCGATGACAGCTTGGTTATCTGATTGGGTTGAAAGAACTGTTCCATGCACAAAAACAAGAAATGGACTTAATTCTTGGAGCCCAATGCACTCACTTTTATGCTATGAAATAAATTAAGGTATTTATTTATGGAATAGCATCATAGAAAGTCAGGGTTACATCCTAGATGAGCTTGCACTTGAATATACCACAGAAGCTCATCAATCGAAGTTCAAAAAGGAGGGAAAATGCAATGATCCATTAATTAATCAAAGAAAAAAGTAAAGTAACAGAGTCTCAGCTATAGAAGTCAAGACTATTCCTAGAAATATGCACACACAACAACAACAACAAATATATTTATACTATATACATAATTGTCTACCAACAACCTTAAGTAGCCTAATTCAGATCAAACTAGTGCTAAACTTCATATAAGTTCATAAATGGTTACTTAAGTCGGATTCCAAGTACTTTATCATGCTAAGTTTATACCACAAAGTTCTCACCACATATTTAATGAGCAAGAAGATGCTAATGTACCTGAAATAGATCCCCAGTGGCCTTCCAAACTATCAGTTTGACTACTTGATTCAATTGAAAAATCACCTAAAGTTGAATCAAGTTGAGGTTTAACAGGGCCATTATCAGTCTTCCCTTGCAAAATTACAGTGCTACCCCCAGAAGCATCCACTCCAGACTCTCTGGTATGGCTATCATCAACAGCAACAGAACTTTGACCAGTAGGCTCAGTATATGAAGGTAAATGCATTGACTCTTTCTTCAATTGATCCTGTGAAGTTCTCTCAATCTCATTTCCTCCACTATTGTCTACTGCAGAAGCCATAAGAACTACACTAGCACACTCTCCTTGTATCTTGTTATCACTACTTATTTTGGATTCCTTTATGTCATCTTGACTGTTTGAAACTCCATCCAAGCACGGGCCTTCAGTCTCATTCACTTCCTCTGTTACAATGGGGGATTGATGATGGGTGCTAATGGATTCAGATGTAGAATTGGTCTTTATTGAAACGTAACCCTCCTCTGGTCTAATGCAACTTCCAACCACATTGGTAACATAATTTTCAGTTTTTCTTGTCCCAATATCATCAGAATTGTCAACTTCAAGTAAGTTGGATGCTGTATTAGTTTGGGACAGAGAAGAAGAATGATATGTAGATTCACATGATGTTTCAGTGTTTTTCTCATAATTTTCATCATTAATTCTTCTGATGTTGTCACCTCCAGCTCCAGCCTTTTCAGGATTATCCATATTATCACCGCCAACTACATTATCTAACTTTTTGGTCTGAACATCGGTATGCTCAAACATAGGTTTCACATCAGGTAAAACATTTATCATGCTTCCAGAGAAACCGGTCTGATGCAGATCATCAGCATCATAAAACTGCTGTTCTTCAAGAAAGCAGACTTTCTGGTCCTTCTCGTTCTCAGTTGCATCAGCATCAACAGGAGAAAATGCACCAGACCCCTTATTGACCTGAAGCACATCAGCTTTCCCCTCAACAAGCACTTCTTTAACCATAGCCTCATTATTGCCACCAAGTTTATAGCTATCTTCAGCAACATCCATGTATGAAGTATCTACCTTGATATCTTTATCCAGCTGATTTGACAGGAGAGTATCAGATTTCTCCTGTGAAACATGGTCTCTGACTTCATCTTCCTTATCAATTATTTCTTCAAAAGCTACGGCCTCCGATTTGGGTAACTTCACTCTCTCATGATCTTTAAAACCCTCTAGCTTGATTTCAGCATTGTCTACAACAGGAAAATCATCAGGAACTGAAAGCACATCAAAGCTTTCCTTTTCCTTTTCCTTTTTGTCATAGACTTCATTTGAAATGACAGTAATGGCAGAGCCAGGGGATCAGTCTGTATTTGAAAGGTATCTGTAGACACATTCATATCTTTCGCAGATTCAGCTTTAGGGGAAAGATCATCATTGACCATTCTGAGAGCCAATTTGTCACTATTCTCCTTTAATTCAACAATTTTGTCAGCCAACCCAGTCTCTGAAGTTATATCCTCTGCCTTTTCAGATGTTACACTTGCATCCTCACTGTTTGATGCCACAATGTCCATTAGGTTTCTTTCTGTAGTGATTCCCGCATTTCCCTTTGCATCAGTCTCTTGCTCACCATTTTCACTCATGGATGTCTTAGAATTCAACCTATCACTAAACTCTTCCTTCAGTTGGGCCATATCGCCTGTCAAAACCATATCTGAAGTTGCATCCAGTCTCTTTTCCGAAAGAGAAACTGTTTCAGATATTTCGCCAGCACGTTCGCTGGGCACAATCAAGGCACCTGCAAAGTTTTTGTTTAAGTTGACTTCTTCATTTTCACTGGCATCAGCCTCTAGCCCGAGAGAGCATTCTGCTACCCTATCACCAGCACTGACTTCCCTCCTCTCTTCTGAGACAACCATTGGGGTTTCTGTTTTGATGGGGACCACATCAATAGTAGAACCATTTCCATCCTTGAAATCTTTACTATAGCTCAAGCCAAGATCTTGGTGCTCTGGTGCACCCATAGACAGAACAGGATTTTCTTTTTGGCTTGTGTCAGCTGAATTCCGTAGGGGTTGAAGGATTTCTACATACGTAAATGAAACCAAGTTGTTAAAATTGTCAAAAAAAAAAATGTTAAAATTAGATCAACAGTTATACTAGAAAAAATACCAATTAGCAACTCAATTGATGCTATTCAACAGAAAAGCACTGTGAGTTCAATGAGAGTTTCATTTCTTTCATTCTAAATTTAAATGACAAGAATGGCAATTTGCATGTATTTTTATCTGTTCTAGGATTCAGCAAGTTTAGCTTACTATAGACACTATAGTCGGATACAGGTGGAAACATATACAAAATCCCTGAAGCACTCAAAACAGTAAATTCCAATACAAAACTTAATGGGAAGTAGGGCTTAAACTGGCTCGATAAAACTGCAATGCAAACTAAATTATAAGCTTATCCAGGATTTGATGTGGTTACTTGATTTTTGTTAATGAAAAACAAAATTGTGAACACCAAAAAATCAACCACCTGCAAAATGACATGACATGTGAGCTAACACAGAATTATCTGTTTCATCTTCTGAAAAATTTCAGATCTTCTAGTTATGCTTTACAAATTACACATTGATTGACAGATCATAGAGTGTTTGCATCTGTCTCAAACTTTGCAATCAAGCACTAAACCATAACTTGCTATCTACAACATAAGACATGGAAGTGTTGTCATTTTGCAGAGAGATGAAACTTCAAAAATACATCATTTTTGAAACTTCAATCAGTCATCTTGAAGTAAGAACTGACCTCCACCATTTATATATAGGGATAGTACAACTGATCTGCCATTGAATTGGTAGAGGCCAACTCAGTTTTGAATTTACAAAATAACCAATCAATCAAACAAAAACTTAGATGAAGTTTGAGTGTATTAGTCATAAAAGCCAGTTGAATTTTATCACACTCACCTACTGCTTTGACTTTATTTAATGTCTCATCTAATCGCACCATCAAGTCTATTATTCAATATAATAGCCAGAAACTAAAGGAATGGAGAAAGACTACCGCTACGCGCTGCGGATATGCCATTTAATTCACAAGCAACTTCTTCTACACATAATTAAATTTCTTAGACAAACCATTTATTGGGGCATCTAAACAGGCACACATGTCACACACAAAGAAGCCAGCATCAATTTATAATCAAGTCTAATAAAAAACTTACCCGTATCTTCACAATCTATGAAAGAAATGGAGGCAGTAAGATCCTTCTCAGCAATCTTGTCTGCTTTGCTAGCATCAACCAAACTGTCCTGCCTTCCCAGACCAAATCCACTATCTTGAAATTCCATTGCAGCATCAGAAAAGACTTCATTTTCAGATCTATTGGACATTGTTCCAATTCCACTAATGCTTTTCTCCAGACTACAGCTTTCCATAACCTTTGGAACTTGAGCAACTAGGTTCACCAAAATTTACATATTAGATAATAAATTCAATAAACACTTTATGCCTCCCACCAAACTCTTTAAAATTCACAAAAATTATCCCAACTCGTCCATTTACTTAGATCCAAAATTTTTACCTTCTCCATATATATAGAAAGAGATAATGATTATGAAAAGAGTGAAATTCCAGGCAATTAGGAAATGAGACATGTTTACTTACTTGGAGATTTGTTATCCTCGTCAGAAAGTGGTTCATCATCAGAAGCAGTTGTATGGATGCTATCCCCAGAGACGACTATCCTGTACCCTTCAATGGTTCCACAGATCTTCTTGTGAGCACGCCTGTGTTTTGCACTTGGATGTGGGTTTGGAAAAGGCCACCCACATTTGTGACACAAATGAACTCCATGGCTCTCATGCCCTGCAAAATCAAGGAAATCTCATTAACCAGTTTTAAAAACATAAAAATGAAGAAATCATTTTAAACATTAGAACCAAAAGAGAAAAACAGAAGAAAATGAAAAAGTGATCACTTTTAGAAACAAGAAATATCTGATATAAGCAAGTAGTTCTTGAAGGGAAAGAAAATGAAATTAAAAGCAAAAGGAAGAAAAGTTACTGTTTTTTCAAGAAACAAGAAAACCCAGAAATAGTTTTTCCTAATAAAATGACTAAGCAAGAAAAAAAGGGAAAAACCAAACAACTCAAAGTCCCCACAACTGATGAAAAAGGCATGAACATAAAACTAAACCATAGGGAAAAAGGAAATAGAAAGACCTGACGAATGATTTTTTCCCTGATCTTGATTATCCATGTTATAAGTATCAAAAAGAAGAAGAAGCAAAATTTAGAGTTCTACAGAGTGTTTAGAGATGAGAAAAATATAGAGAAACAAGAAGATGATGAAGAGACTTAATAAACCAAAACAAGGGGGTTTTCTGCAAAGAAAATTAAAACCAACAAAGGGAAGACTTGACTTTTATGCAGTGAGCAATATAGCAAGTAATAATAGTGAAAAGGTACAAAGGGTTTAGCAAAGAACAGGCTTTTTCTTTTACAATTTGCATTACAAGTAAGTTTCCATGGTGGGTCTAACTCTCATAAGAGGAAGTGTACGGGACAGCAATCGACTCTTTAACTCTATATATGATGATGATGATGATGATGATGATGATGAAGGCTTATCCTGTAACCCATGTGCGCATGTTATCAAATATCAACAACCTCTGCCCCATTTTTTCGTTGTTATTATCTCCCGCTACTAACCACTCCATGAATGAGAATTATAAAGAGGTTGCTTATAAAAGGGTTGCACCTAAGCAAATCCTTCATTGCAAATTTAGTTAAAGAAATGCTTCTCCCTTTGAAAAGTATTGATGGTCACATTATTTGCTGATAACTTGCTATAAGAAAAATTTTAAAGTTCTTGAGTTCCCTGTATAGGCATGTAATTGGTGAAAAAATGAAATAGAAAGAGTTTGTATTGCTCATTGTAGAAACTAATCAATAAACTAAAAAAAAATTGGATATTCAAAAGAAATTATAGGTTAAACCTTTTATGTTACTTGGAACAAATCAACAAAGAACTTTTATAAAAGAAAGAAATATGTCTGTACTTGTAATTTAGTTTTAGTTTCTCAATTATTGCACAGGAGAAACAGTTCATATTGATAAAGATGTACATTAGAAAACAAAGTTTATCTCATGTATAATCCAAATTGAAATAAAATAAAATCTATTAGTACAATTACAACTCTAAATACAAAATAATTCAATCATAGCTTTTACTCTTATTTTATTTATCAAATAAAGCTATTTAATTAAAGTTTTTCAATAAAATTGAAATTTTTATTTATAAAATTAATAAATCATATTAATTTATCCTAAAATGTTTTCATTTTTTTATCCTTAAATTAAATTAAATTCATGATTTATTTGTATCAAAATAATATTTTTAATTTTAAACATGAATTTAATTTTGATGTCAAAAAAATATAAAAATTTTAAATTTTACTCTGATATAAATTTATATCTAATTATAATTATATAACATTTTTATTTACAATACCTCAATGATGAATGTACAACTCGTACAGCAGATTCTACCACATTACATAAACAGAAAACTACAATTACATGCAGGTGATTGAAACCTTGGTTGCACATGGAGCTACTGAGCCAAAAAATGACAATCTTTAAATTTCTGCAAAACTATAAATTCACATTACTGTGACCAATCAAATTCCAACAGACAATGGGAAACCTAATCTTGACTAAACCCCAGCCACCAGACAAAAGCTATTTGCAACTAAACGTTGTTTTTTGTCCAATCAGGAGCCGCTGTTACATAGATACGTTTCCCACAGACGACGCAATCCCAATTATTTGTTTTTCTCTTTACGCTTCTGTTATAGTTTTCTTTTGTAAAATTGCCATCACTTTTACAAACTGCAACCAACTTTGACTACCTTACCGTACAACAGAGATGTGCTGCATTATACTGTACACACACCAAAACGACAAGAAAAAAAAAATTAATGTGAGCCATGCTTATAAATAATTTATAAAATAGATTGTAAATCCAATGCAATCCTTTCGCACTAATGTTGTTATTTTTATGGTAAGAGAAGATCGCAGTTTGCAGTGACAGATTTTTTTTTTGTTTTTTTTTTTTTTTTACGGAATCTTTTAAAATATCTGATAATTATTTTAAATTTTGATTAATTTAAAATCAAATCAAATTTTATAAAAAGAGTAAACTCTTTTAAATTTATTTTTTTATTTAATTTTTTTGTGTGTGTGTTTATTTATTATAAGTAGCATCTATTTGATGTTGGTGTAGATTAGTTGTGAACTGTGAATATTGTTGGGCAAGGGTAATGAGTGAATGCCGAGGGTTGACTGATTCTAGGTTTTGATTAAATATTAAGCAGTGATAAGGAGGGAAAGGGTTAGAGAATCCAAAAATATATGTTCACTGATAGTATAAAAATAAGGAAATAGATTATAAATATTAAATTTTAAATTAATTAAATATTATTTTTTAAAAAATAATTATATGAATCAATTAAATTAAAATATGTATTTCATTATTATTATTTTGTTTATATTCAAATCTTATATAAATATATAAAAATCAAAATCTTTGGTAAAAAAAATTTCAATGTGAATAGCTTATATTATTGACATATAGACGATTTTGAAAGTTGTTATGTGTCTTGTATTTTATTTGAATTATTTTTAAAAAATTAAATTAATTACATTTATTTTTTATCATTTACCTTAAATCACTCTCAATTAAATTTATATTAAAGGTAATAAAACTTTGATTGACATCATAGAATAATTTTGTGTTCTCTTTTTTTAATTGTAATATTCAACTCTTAAATTACATTTGTGTAAAAAAAAATTCACTTTCCACTTTTTGAATATATGATCTATTTATTTACTTCACTTTTTAAGTTATGTATATACGTTTAATATGTATATATATTAATTTTAAAATAATTAAAAGATGATTAAATCAATTAAAATTAATTTTGAAATATATCAAATAAAATAAATGTCATTACCATTATTACACTAATTTAAAAATCCTTGCACTAATTTCAAATAAAATGAATTTTAATTATCAAGTGTAAATTACTTTTAATTTAAAATACTGTTATTGATTTTATTTGATTCTTAACTTAATTTTAATTAATTAGACATTCGAAAGTTAAAATCATCACATTATTATTTTCAAAACCCATGTTATAAATAATAGTGTTTTGGGATACTCGAGAAATAAATTGCATCCCTGTAATATTTTTTCCTACTGTTGTGATATTCTTTTACTTACAATAAATCTAGCTTAAATTTTCTTTCTTTTTATTTATGATGTTATATATAGATGGATTAGATACACAAATTACTTTATGTTTGGTTTTGTATTATTTTGGATGCTACTTTATTTTTTTTATTTTGTGTTAAGATCTTTTGAATTAATTCTTCATCAAAATTGTATAATGATATTTTTTGAAAAAAAAAATCATTCTAAAAAAAAATTTTAAAATTAAGCAAAATTTCTTGAAAATTTAATATTTTGGATTTTTTTTTAAGGTTTTGGCTATTACTATTAGTTTGATTATAGTTTAAATTATACATATATTTGTATATATTTGTATACAATTTTTTCAGTTTTTGTTATGATATCAATTTATATGCCAAATTTTCATTATACTTTATCATGAAATAAATGAGCAAGCTACATGATAAATTATAAAAAAAAAAAAAAGTGATCACTTATCACCTATCTTATCATATGTATCAAATATATATTTTATTTTTTATTTTTTGTATGAAGTGAAGTGATTTATTTTTTTCTTAATGATATAATTTTTTTTTCATTTGTCATTTGATATTATGTTTGTTATTTAGATATTATCACTTTCATGATTTAACTTGAAGTGAAGTTAATTACTATCCAAGTTAATGAAAATTGATAGAAGTAACACTTTAGTATTAATTTTTTGATAAATGTAATAAGATAAGTATTACATTAAATTTGAATTAAATCAAAATTTCTAATTATTAGCCAATATATATATAAATAAAAATTCAATTACAAATTCAAATAAAAAAAGAATTTGCTACTCATATATTTAAATATTTATATACATAATCATCGCTCAATCAAAATTTTCATTAATTCTATTTTTATTATCTTTTTATTTTATGGTGTTTTATAGATTAAATGTGCATTATTACTAATTCAAATTTTTTGATGTAATTACATCTTCTAATATATTGTTATTATTAACCAACTATTAATATTTAAATTATTTGATTTTATTTTATTTAAAAATTGTTATAAATTATAATTATCATTCATGCATCGTAAAGGTTAAATTTAATATATGTTAATATTTTATACATAATTAATATAAAATTTTATTACAAATAAATTAAAAAAATGATACATGTATGTATATTTTAAAAAATAAAATTTTAATTAAAAATAATATATATATATATATCACCCTCTTAATTTTACTTATGAAATTAAAATTTTAGATTAATTATATATCAAATATTAACTCATATATATATATATATAAGTTGTTCAAACATGCAAAGTATTTTTCTACTCATTTATTGCGATTTAGACTACAGAGACGTCAATAAAACTCAATCGCAAGTTGGTTTCGATAGTTAAGGTCGTTGGGATCGAATCTTAACAAAAATGATGGTCATGGTTTTAGCTAAGCATGAAACAAGTTTTTGCATCCAACCCACTTCCTTGATCTTTCCACCTCAGTACAACCACTCCAACTTTGGATTTGTCATATTCGAGATATATATTTATAATCTGTATCGAAGTACGTTGATTAGACATGTCAATTGTGATCTGAAAATTTATTCAATTCATTTTATTTAATTCGATTTTATTATAAAAAAATCAAAAACCCAAATTGTTCATTTTGAAATTGAATGCAGCTTGAAATTAACCTGAATCCGAATTCAAATGGATTTGAGTTTGAATTAACTCGAAAGATTAATTTGAAATAATTAAAAATTAAATTAAATATAATTTCATTAAAAAACATTGATTTAATAAAAATAATAATATAATATAAGTGATTAATTTATATTAATTCTCTTTTAAATTATCTATTAAATTTTTTTCTTTACTTTACAAAATATTTTATTATATTGATATATTGGAAATGATTAATTTTATTGTTATATTACAAAATGATTAATTTCTTTTTTTTTTATTGTTATATCGGAAACGTCTTTACAATTTTATTTTCTATTTTTATTTTTAATTTAAAAATTATGAAATAATTTTTTAATCTAATATAATAAATAAAATTTATTATTTAATACATTAATAAATAATTTGAATAAATTTAAGATTTATCAATAAATTTTATTACTTATTAACAAATTTTATATAATAAATACATTTTATTAATATTAAATAATTAAAATTTTTATTATATACAACTTTTAATCTAATATTTTTAATGATCATTTTCTCTTTTTATTAAAATTCATCTCATTATCATCATTTTTTTTCATCCAAATCTATATCTTAACATTAATTTTAGTTTTACCGTTATAACAACTAATCTCACTTTCATTATTATTTTTAATTTTAACTAAACTAATCCCATCATCAATCCAAATAAATCCTAAAATTAGTGAAAAATATCAACTTAATATATATTTCTTAATATCAAACTAAT